CTGTGGCTGGCTGGTGTTTAAGTGAACCAAAACCTTGAACTAGCTATAAAAACAACTCATATATATATATATATGAATTCATATACATATACATACATATGTACATATATATATTGATTTCAGAGAGGAAGGGAGAGGAAGGGAGAGGGAGAGAAACATCAATGATGAGAGAGAATCATCCATCGGATGCCTCCTGCACGGCCCCCAATGGGGCTCGAGCCCATAACCCGGGCATGTGCCCTGACCGGGAATCGAACCATGACCTTCTGGTTCAAAGGTCGACGCTCAACTACCTAGCCATGCCAGCCGGGCCTAAGAGAGTTCTTAATGTTTCCCTACATGTTTATACTAAAGCCCAACTCTAACCAAAAAGAAGTTCCTTCATCTAAAGCAGTGGTTCTCAACCTTCTGGCCCTTTAAATACAGTTCCTCATGTTGTGACCCAACCATAAAATTATTTTCGTTGCTACTTCATCACTGTAATGTTGCTACTGTTATGAATCGTCATGTAAATATCTGATATGCAGGATGGTCTTAGGCGACCCCTGTGAAAGGGTCGTTTGACTCCCAAAGGGGTCGAGACCCACAGGTTGAGAACCGCTGAAAAGCAAAAGTGACTGCATAGGCTCATATCCATCCATCCTTCCCATCATCGATCCAACAAATACTTACTGAAATCATAAAAGCATGTCACTCTGCAGAAACAATGGGGGAGAGAAATAGGTAAAACACTTAATCGGTGACCTCATAGGGTGGTATCTGGAATTTTATCTGCATCATTATCATTTATGTTACCACCGTAATAGGCATGTTCCCATTTTTAGGGACGGGGAAACCAACCAGGGTCAGTAACTCTCTTTCTAAGGTCTCCATCCGGACAGTACCAAACAGCCTTCCTTTTCCTCCTTCCTTCCTCCTTCCTCCCTCCCTCCCTCCCTCCCTTCCTCCCTTCCTTCCTTCCTTCCCTCTCTTTCTTTATTACAAGTTGCGCATATTCAACTGCAGAAATAATATTGGATGAAACTTCATAAACCTTCAACTTGGATTTTTTCTCATAGAAAAGGGCTGGGGAAACCATTTCTAGATTTATCCAAGTAGGATTCCAAATTTCAAGAATTAAAATTGCCGGTTAAGCTCCTACCGCCAGTCCACAGCGATCCTGGTGGGAATGAGACGGTGCTGGCAGCCACTCAGGGCAGAGAAGCGGGAAGACTCGAGGACGGGCCGAGTCTCAGTCATTGGAATA